TGGGAAACATCCCAGGCCAGGTTGGATGGGGCTGTGAGCACCCTTGATCTGGTTGAAGATGTCCCTGCCCATGGCAGGGGGGTTGGACTGGACGACCTTGAAAGGTCCCTTCCAACCCAAAGCGTTCTGTGATTCTCTGATCCCTGGAGCAGGGCCCGTGGGTTTCATTGCACACAGGCGAGCAAAGGAGCTGTGACTGTAGGGAAGGGTAGGACCTGGTGGCTGTCACAGCAGTGGGGACGGCAGGGATGGCGCAGGCTGGCATTCCCCGTGTTGGGTCAGTGGGCAAGGAGGGGGACGCATGATGCGCGCATGGGCCAAACCCCTTGAGCCCTCTTCCTTCTCTTCCAGTGAGAGTGCTTCCAACCTCAAAGCCTTGTTTGACTTTGTCCGGACATCCCTGACTCCCGCCGGCAGCGACTCCTGGAAGGGCCCTGTGCTGCTAGTGGACGACCTCAGCGTCCTGCTCAGCCTGGGTGCCACGCCGGTGGCCGTGCTGGACTTCATCCACTACTGCAGAGTCGCGGTGTGCTCCCAGCTGAAGGTACGGCTCCCTCCGCATGCAGCATCCCGTACCCTACGTGTACAAAAAAGCCTCTGGAGCAAAGCTTGGCTTTCTTTTCTTTTTCCACCTGTGCATGATGAGGTTTTTGGAAGGCTTTGGCTGTTTGAGAAATTCAAATCGTTGCTCTGGGGCCACTCTCAGGGAGTCGTGTTAGTCCCCGGAGTACCTGTGCAGGGTCCTTTGCAACTGATTTCCCAGGAGGTGCTGCCCAGAGAAGGGCTCTCTCTGTCCCTGAGGTGCGAGCAGAGCTTCGAGGTGTAAAATATTTTTTCTTAGAGCTCCTGGCTCGCCAGAGATCTCCACTCACGCCCATGTTTGTGTGCGTGTGGGAGGGCAGGGAAGGAAACGGGTTATGAAGGTAGTGAGGGGCTGATGAGTCTCGCGGGGGGCAGAGATGAAGGTCTGCTTGGAGGGGACGCGAGTCTCTGCTCCCACCAATCTCCGGTGTTGCTGTGCGTTGTAGCGGCTGCTTTCTAAGGGCATGTGAGGATGTGGCACTTCGACAAAGACCTCCCCAGCGATGCGCTAACTTCTGAGAGCATCCCAGCCAAAAATCGTTACAGTCACATCCATCCTTTGCTATTTACATTGCAGCGTCCCCCACCCTGGCCACTTCTCTCTCTGCTTGAGCGAGAAATAAAGCAGCTGGCATCAGGTTTTGTTACCCTGCACTTCGTATGGTGCCAGGGTGTTTGTGCTGTAAATGCTGACAGGGGATGTTCTGCTGGCTGAGAATATTTACCTCCAAAACAACTAAAAAAGATGATAAATCATGCTGACATGTTTCTATTTCTAAGATGTTCTGAAGCTTTAAAGTAGATTTTAATTGATTGGAAATTTCACGTTATTTTAAGTCCTTGGTGACCTGCATGGGATGAGGCAGAAACTCTTGGGATATATTTTTAATAGAGCTGGTTGGGGAGCTCTTTGCTTCTTGAGGGAGCTGTGGAGGTCTGAGCATCACAGCTCTGGCTGCGGCTGTTTGGCCACATTTTTATGTAGCTGTTCTGAATTCATTCGGGGAGTTGCCATTTGTGTGGCCTGACAGACTGGTTTAACTAAACAGCTGTCTTGTAACAAAGGCTTGGTGTATTTTCATAGAATCACAGAATCATGGAATCGTTTAGGTTGGAAAAGACCTTTAAGATCATCCAGTCCAACCATTAACCTAACACTGCCAAGTCCACACTAAACCAATCAAGGGTAGACTAAACCATGTCCCAAAGTGCCACATCTGCCCGTTTTTTGAATGCTTCCAGGGATGGGGACTCCCCCACCTCTCTGGGCAGCCTGTTCCAATGCTTGACTACCCTTTCCATGAAGAAATTTTTCCTAATATCCAATCTAAACCTCCCCAGCACAGCTTGAGCCTATTTCCTCTCATCCTAAGCCCATAGGCCGCGTAAGTGTGTGTGGGTATGTATATACAATATATATACAGCAGGCTGGTTCAGAGATGTATATACGTATCTGCTGTTTATTTTCCCAGTGGACTTGAGCTCAGGACCAGCCGCCGTGCTGGGCATGCCTAAGTAGCTTAGTTAGCAGGGCATTTGCGCAAGCTCCCGTTGCTCTCTCCCCTTCTGTACCCTGAGCGGATTAGGAATCAGCCAGGGGCTCATTGCTTCCCTGCGGCTCTCGTTGCAGGGAAACATCGTGGTGCTGGTTCACAGCAACGAGGATTCAGACGACGAGGAAAATGAACTGGTTGTGAACTCCCTGTGTCATCACAGCGACCTGATTCTGTGGGTAGAGGGGCTGGCGACCGGCTTCTGCAAGGATGTTCACGGGCAGGTAATGCACGGGGAGAGGTGGCACACGTTAACATCACGTACGATGCTGCCCGCGAGCCCACGGGTGGGCGAGACACGCTCCATCGGCCCCGTGGGAGATGGCCTGGGACTAGCCTGGTCTGCAGCGTGGTTACGGCCGAACGAGCAGCCTTGCTGCGGTCACCAGGATCTGCTGGAGCACCCGAGCTCTTGCGGCTGTGCCTCCGCTTCCACGGGGATACTCAGGGACATCCTAGCAGCCCTGGAAGCTTGGAAAGGGTTTGTACAGCAGCTACAGTGCTGCTGTCTCCCACCCCAAGATGATGGCAAAGAAAAATATCTAGTTCCTGAGAAACTTCCCCAAACTATCCTGTCGCTGGATCTCAGCCTGGCTTGCAGTGATCTCTTCTGGGCTGGGAGGGCAGCTGGGGCCTGGCTACTGCGTGGTTTCTCATCAGGGGCTGCCACCAAAGGGACTGGGAAGAGGCAGCTGCGTGATGGTTTCTTAAATCAGTGATTCCCCCTTCCCTGCAGGCCATCAAGAGATGGGAGGGGGTGAGGATGCTGTGACTGGGGCAGCCCAAGGGGTGATATTCCTGTTCCCTTTGCAGATTAAAATAATTAGGAGAGTGTCCTTGGAGCTGACGGCGGAGCAAGATGTCATCCAGATCTACCAGTATAAGATCCAGGACAAGAACGTCACCTTTTTCGCTCGAGGGCTGTCAGCTGCGGTCCTGTGACGCTGCGGTACCGCGCAGCGCCGTGAGAGCAACGCGGAGCCGGGCCAGGGAGGCTGGTACCTCTAAACTGGACGTGCCACCAAACCAGCCCGGCTGTGTCACTGACGCCTTCCAGGAGCGGTGCGGCAAACCGACCCGGGAGGGACGCTGAAACGCGTGTGGACCTGCGTGCCAACGAGGGGGATTAACCAGCCTGGAGCCTGCTGCGTCCCTTTGTCCTCCCACCCCCTTCCCAATGTACGCAGGCCAAGAGGAAGAGCGAAAAATTGCAAGGATGGCCCTTAGAGCGTGTAAATACAAGCAGGGGGGTTGCCCCGAGGGCTGGGCGTGCTGCACCTTTCGTGGTGCGGTTACGGGCACGGCAGTGCCAGGCGCTGCTGCGCGCAGGGCTCACCCCACCCTCCGGCTGGCGTGTAAGGAGATGACACAGAGCGGGCGGAGGCAGGGATGGTCCGGGAGCGTGTTGCAATGCTTGCCCTTCTCCCAGCTCTGGCACAGAAGAGATTGGCTCAAGACCCAAACTTCCACAGAATTAAAAAAAACCCCAAAAATCTATTGCTATGTGTAGAGTCCCTCACCTTGCTGCTGTAAGAGCCAAAGGCCGCCTTGCTTGGGTGATTCCTTGCTTTGCTTTGTTACTTTCCCCTCTTTCCAGGTGAAACCCCTGTGCCCGCGCGTGTCTGTTCAGCGTGCGGCTTCCCAAGCTCATCCTTGGCGTTGGGTGAGCAGACAGACACGTGTGCGCGAGCCGCTGCCTCCCGGTCACAAACCATCGCTAGCGCTTACATGACCTGCCTGTACTGAAGCATTATCAGGGGCTAATAATCACTAATTTTAATTAGGTAAGGGTGTGGTCATTAAGTAACCATGGATCTCTGTACGGGAACCGCTCCCCGCAGGCTCCTTTGGCAGAGGGGGAGAAATGGGCATCTCCCAAGCCGGGAGGCGGTTTTGGGTCCCTCTCCCTCCCCACGGACGTGAGGGCAGTCCTGGGAGCAGCGCTCAGACCTGGAGGTCTCCTGGTAGGTGCTCCGGCCGTAGTGGGAGCTAAATAACATCCCGCCCGCTTGTGAGAGACGAGAGCGACCTGCCAGGTCCTTTGCAGCTCCAGAGCTGGGGTAATGACTCCAGTAGTGGGAGGGGTTCCTGCTTTTTCCGCGCAGAAATCCTGCGTGGCTCAGTGACCCGTCCTGCCGTGGGTTTGGGAATGGTCCCCTTTTGGCTTGAGTTTGGGGAGCTCTGGCACGCTCGGAGGCTGCTTATCCCAGCCCAGGGAGGCTGGGCAGGCTCTGGGGATCGTGGTGAGTGCCAAGGAACTCGGGAGGGGGAACGAGGCACCAGCGGGGACACCGCTGGGGACACCGCCGTGGGTTGGGGTCCCCAGTGCCCCCGAGCTGCGCACAGAGCCCCGGGCTCCTTGGGAAGGTTCCTGGTAGCCGATGGTGCCTGGCCCGGCCGTGGTGCTGCTGCTGGTGGGTGCAAAGCACCGTACGAGACGAGAGGAAACAGCCTCAAGTTGCATCAGGGGAGGTTTAGATTGGATATTGGGAAAAATTTCTTCACGGAAAGGGTGTCCAAGCACTGGAACAGGCTGCCCAGGGAAGGGGTTGAGTCCCCATCCCTGGAGGGATTTAAAAGACGCGTAGACGTGGTGCTCAGGGCCATGGTTTAGTGGTGGACTTGGCAGTGCGAGGTTAACGCTTGGACTCGATGATCTCAAAGGTCTTTTCCAACCCAAATGATTCTGCGATTCCACCCTGCCCTGGCAGAGGCAGGCTGGTGGCTTGGTCTCCTGCCACGTCACACGAACCCTCAGGCTGGCGTCTGCTGCGCCTTGTTGGGGTAAAACCGCGT